TCATCCATGGCCTTCTTCCTTTCGTTTACAATACCCTTCCAATTTTTCCTGTCCATAGTTAGACCTTCGATGTTAGTCCAATCTAACCCTGCCTCTTTTAAAATTCTTTTCCAGTACGTTATAGTGTTGTTCTTCCCATTCTTTGATCTTTCGCCTACTTCCGTCCAGTTGCCCAGAGTGATTTTCTTTACTGTTCTTGTGTCCGGCATCCTTGTCACGTGTCCTATCCTCTTCAGTGCCCGTGCTTCTATCTTCTGTCGAATTGATGTTATACCTAGTTGCCTTCTGATCTCAAAACTATTCACCCCTTGCATCCTGTATAGCGCCAGCCCCTTCCCATTATTCCATACGTATATGTACGCTAGATCGGCCACTCTTTGTAGTTTCGACATGTCCGTGGTTGTCCAAGGTCTCACCGAGCAGTCGAATAGCATGGTTGACTCTACTACTGCTTGGACAATTACCGCCTTGGTTTTCTTTGATAGTGTTGACTTCCATAACCATTTCTTGGCCTTTGACCAAGCATGGTAGCCTCTTTTAATCCTCGCGTTTATGTCTTCCTTTCTTCCAATTAGAGTCCCTAACATCCTTGTCCTGTCCGCTGCCTCGCTTCCAAACATTATGAATTCTTCTTTCCCATTGTGACACACTTCTTCATACTTCATCATCGTCTTCTTAATTGTCTCTTTACCTCGACTGAGCTCTTCCATACTTCCTAACAGAGTGGAGTCGTCCGCAAACAGCAAGTCCAGTTCTGGAATTCAATCCTGTTGCTGCTCCGTAGGTTCCTTTGGGACGTCGCAGGGGGGAGGCTGTTTCCCGGTCTCCAGGTCCACTTCAAGCCGCATTCTTCCTTTGACTCCTTTATCCGATCCATTTGGGCTTGCCTCATGGATGTAGCATGATAAATATTAAACAGAATGGGCGAGGTGGCGCAACCTTCGCGAAGGCCCCTTTGTGGCGTCAATGGTGTACTCAGCTCCTGTTTGCCTTTTACTCGGTATTGTGTGTTCTCATGTAAGCCTTTCAGGATTTCTAAGATGCTTGGAGGCATATCTAGCTTTCCTAGTATCCCCCATAAAAGTGGTTTGTTCGTTCTCGGGTACGCCTTTTTTATGTCCAAGAGTACAGCTCCTGGTCTTCTCGGGTTATGGTGGTTAGACCTTCCCAGAACTCTACTTGTCTCTTCGTCGATTCTGATTGTAGTCTGTGTCGCGTCCGCGGTCGATCTGTTCTTCCTGAAGCCATTTTGGTTCTCGTCTAGTGCCCCAATCTCTTCCGCCCATAGTCTGATCGTGGAGGCCAGTACTCTGGCTATGATCCGGCTGGCTAAAGGAAGGAGGCAAATGCCTCTGTAGTTTTGTAGATCGTTCTTTGGGCCCTTCTTGTGAATGGGTACCACCCATCCTTCTTTGGTTTCCTCAGGCCAGGTGTTTGGATCTGTTTCAAGCAGTTGTATGACGCTCTTTAAAATTTCTCTTTTAGTTGTGTTGTCAGCGGCATTGATCCCAATTAGGCGCACTCCGTCAATCTCTGACGCGCCGTCCTTCATGAGAGCAACTTCTCGCTCCACTTCCTGCACTGTGAATTCCATTTCTATTTTCCGTGCTGCTTCTCGTGCCACAGTGTCCCTTCTTTGTTCCAGACTATCGATTAAGGAATTAATTTCTTCCTCCGGTCGGTCATATCTCGTTGCCGGGACTTGCATGAAATGCTCTTTGTATTCCTCCGGGCTGAAGAATTCGTCCTCAACACAGCTATTATTGTCTTTGATGCCAATCCTTCTCAAAGTTTTATACAGGATTCTCATATCGCCGCTAGTTTTGTCTCTTTTGGCTTCGTTGACGATCTCTAGCCACCATTCTTCTTCCCAACCTTTCTTCTGTCTTTTGAAATCCTTTCTAGCTTTCCGTCTCTCTTCCTTCGCTGCTTCGTTTCCGTCTTGTGCTCGAGCTGTTAGTTCGCATATTCTCTTTTGAGCCCTTTCTATTTCCTCTTTGTGCCTATCCAGCGCTGGGTTTAGGGTTTTTTTTCTACTGTGCCGCACACTTCTTCTCCTACTCTCTTCATCGCCTTTGCTGTTTGTGTCCAGTCTTCGAGCTCTTCTGTAGCTAATTTATTGGCGTATTCCGTTGCCTTTGTTACCGTTCTTAGTTTTTCCCAGTCTATTTTCTTCTTGGGTTGACTGGTCTTGTTATTGCGCTTCCTGTCAAGAGGGTTATTCAGGGCACAGCACATCGCTTTCGGTCTGTGGTCGCTTAGATCCATGCTCGTCGGTACCGTGAAAATCCTCCGTGCGCGTTTTGCCCGGTCTTGTTGTTTCATAATGAAGCCGTCTATTTCATGCCATGTTTTGTTCTTGGGATGCTTCCATGTTCCTCTCCTCTTGTGGCTGAAAAAGGAGTTGCACCAGGCTAGGCTGTTCTCTTGGCACCATTCCAGTAGGTTCATACCCGCTGTATTTGTCTTGCCTAAACCGTGGATACCCGCCGTCTGGTCC